AACTTTCTGATACAGGACCCTGCACTTACTGCACCACATGTACCTGGCAGTATCACCGTACTGCTGGAGATGCCACACAGGTGAGGGCACCCTTGCACACATCTTCTGGTCCTGTCCCCGCATACAGCCCTTTTGGAGACATGTACATGAAGCAATCCGAAAGATCACAGGCACTGCGTTACCCTTCACCCTCACAGTTTCCCTCCTACATTGGGAACCTGACACCCCCATGGGGGCACTTAAATCGCTACACAGACACCTCATCAATGCAGCGGGCACAATCATCCCCCGCCACTGGCGACAGGACCACACACCCACAATACGTGAATGGCTCATACAAGTTGGACACGTATACGAGATGGAAGAGCTACTTGCCACTAGACCGGACACCCTAGATAACTTCAGAATGATGTGGGCCTGCTGGACCTACTTCATTGGTACTGATGACTTTACTGAATTGCAACGCAGTGGATAATAACTGGAAGAAATCGTGGTACCCTCATACGAAACTGCCACATTTATCCCCAACTGTGGCCTGAGGAACCCGACTGAGAACTCACTGACAATACAATTATCTTGTGATTACCATCTGCTGATATGTTCGTCTCTATTTTTCTTCCTTTTCTATATTCTCCGATTGCCATGGTTAGAAATTCAACTGTTAGGCACTTCACTGTACATGATCTGAACCAGCGATCGAGTTTATTGTATCACTTTGTATTCCTAACAAAATTTCAATAAAAAATCATTTGAAACAACAACAAAAAATTCCCCTATGTCAAAGAACACAGAGAATTTTGCTTTCTTTGTTAGAGGTGTAAATACATACTATTTGCCCAACTTTGTACACTCACTGGATATTGTATGCCATATTTATGGTGCACCAAAAACTTGACATTTGCTGCACTTTCAGAATTCTACCAATGCAGTCAGAAATAAAATACATACGCTCAAAATGTAATCTGACATTTGAGTATGTCTGGAAGCTATAGATGTTTTACTAGGGGTAAACTAGTTTTCTGCAACTACTCTACTTCCTCAAGAAAGACTACTTAATCTGATTTTCATCTCTCTTACAACCACCTGTGTGATTAGGAAGCATCACAAACCAAACCATACCATTCTGATGATTTCAAGTTACCATATGCCAGGGACTTATTTTTTTCTATGAGAAGACCGACCAGAGTGATATGTCTTTCTATAGTATGGAATTATTATTATTATACAGGATTTATATAGCGCCAATAGTTTGCACAGTGCTTTACAATATAAGGAAGACATTACAGTCACAATACAAATTAAGACAAGATGGTAAGGAGGGCCCTGCCCGTGAGGGCTTACAATTTAAAAGGAAGGGGCAAGTGATACATGAGGAGGTAGCTGCGCGGGGATGATTGTTTGAGAAAGTGATTGTTCAGTGGTTAGGGTGAGGTGGGAACGGCTTCCCTGAAGAGATGAGCCTAAAGGCAGTCAGTGTGGGAGATAGACGGACAGGTTGGGGTAGAGAGTTCCATAGGATGGGACACACTCTAGTGAAGTCCTGGAGGCAAGCATGGGAGGAGTTGATGACGGAGCTGGAAAGCAGGAGGTCTTGTGAAGAGCGGAGGGGACGGTTAGGGTAATACTTTGAGACCAGGTTAGAGATATAGCCGGGGCCAGAGTTGTGGATGGCTTTGTACGCGGTTGTTAATATTTTGAATTGTATCCTTTGGGCTATAGGAAGCCAGTGCAGGGTTTGACAGAGGGGGGTTGCAGACACTGAGCAGTTGGTTAGGTGGATGAGTCTAGCAGCTGCATTCATGATAGACTGAAGGGGGGATAGCCTGTGTAGAGGTAGGCCAGTGAGGAGGGAGTTGCAATAGTCAAGACGAGAGATAACAAGGGAGTGGATGAGTAATTTTGCGGTTTCTGAAGGCGGCAGGATTTGGATAGTGATTGGATGTGGGGAAGAAAGGTGCGGTCCGAGTCAAGGATGACACCTAGGACCTTGGCATGTTGGGAGGGCTGGATAGTTGTGTTAACAATCTCAAGGGAAAAGTTGGGGGAAGGTGCACGGGCAGGAGGAAAAATCAAGAGCTCAATTTTTGAAAGGTTGAGTTTTATGAAGTGTTGCGACATCCAGACAGATATGTCAGTTAGTAGATTAGTGACACGCAAGGACACTGAGGGGGAGAGTTGCGGAGTGGAGAGATAGATTTGAGTGTCATCAGCAAAGAGATGGTATTGGAAGCCATGTGTGGTTATTAACTGAACAAGAGAGGAGGTGTAGATAGAGAAGAGAGGGGGCAAGTGGTGAGGTGGGTGTCAGAGAGAAGCTTTGTAACCTCCTCTGTGGTGACCGGGTCAAAAGAGGAGAGTGACAAGTGTGATGGTGGGTTTGGAACATGAATAGGGGAAGGTGACTGCACAGTGGCGATCTGATCCCGAATTGTATGGAATGACTACTATTGCCACCACAGTGATATAAGTATGTCTATGTCATCAATACAGTTAAATGGACTATATGTGATCATCCATAGCAGTTAGATTCAATTGTACTTTGGAATAGCACAAAAGGAAAATAAGAGTAATCCTGTTGGCTGATGCAGAGCAACATAGGAGGTGTTTACATCAGGCACACTGATGTGAAAGTGATCACAAGGTGATTGCTTTTAATATTGTGTGCAAGAAAGGGAGGGTGGACGAGAAGCCTAAACTTCAGGAAGGCAAACTTTGATAAACTACGCATTATAGTGGGTGAAATCGAATGGGAAAACTTATTTGATAAACTAAACTTTGACCAAAAGTGGGACTGTTTCAAGAACAAATAAAAAAAAATGCTATTACCAGGTGTATACCACTGGGTAACAAAAGTAAAAGATCAAAAACGAAGCCAATATGGCTAAATAAAATGGTAAAACAACACATTAAAGAAAAAAAAGTAGCATTTAGCAAGTATAAAATGGAGGGGACAGTATTGGCATTCCAAAACTACACAGAATGTAATAAAAGATGTAAACTGGTATTCCGGGCAGCTAAAATTGAATGTGAGAAATACATTGCCGAAGTTAGTAAAAAGAACCCCAACATAGAGGGCCGAGGCGCTAAATACTTTCTTCTCGTCGGTATTCACCGAGGAAGCAGACGGGTTTAATGTAAATGGTAAAACACAAAATTTAACAAGAAATACACCTGAGTGGTTGACTGAAACTGGGATACAACAGAGGCATAAACTACTAAATGCAAATAAAGCATTAGGACCTGATAATCTACATCCCAAGGTACTCAAGGAACTGAACAAGGAGATAACGAGACCATTGTTCCTAATTTTTAAGGAATCCGTAATGGCTGGTAGAGTGCCAAACGACTGGTGAAGGGCTAATGTGGTACCTATATTAAAAAAAGGGTCAAAATGTCAACCTGGGAACTGTAGACCAGTTAGTCTAACATGCATAGTATGTAAACTGTTAAAAGGGAATTATCAAGGACTACTTAGTGGAATTCGTCCAAGATCATGGCATAATAACTGATAATCAGCATGGATTTAGGAAGGATCGTTCTTGCTAGGCCAACCTGCTGACCTTTTACGAAGAGGTGAGTAGAGATCAAGATGGAGGGAGGACGGTGGACGTAGTATATCTGAACTTTTCCAAAGCATTTGATACGGTGCCACACATAAATGCTTGTTATACAAGCTAAGGGATATGGGCATAGATGAATTCGTGTGCACATGGATAGAAAACTGGCTACGAGAACTTGCACAAGGAGGAGGTGACTAGCCAAGTCTCAGTGTTTGCTGATGATACGAAAATTGCGAGGGTAGTAGACACAGATTTAGACATTATAACATTACAGGAGGACCTGGATAAAATCAGGGAGTGAGCAACTGTATGGCAGATGAAGTTCAATGTAGATAAATGTAAGGTAATGCACCTTGGAGTTAAAAATAGGCAAATGGACTATACACTTATGGGTATGCAACTAGGGAAGTCGGAAATGGAGAAGGATCTGGGGGTCATTATAGACCGCAGATTGAATAACAGCTCGCAATGCCAGGCTGCTGTAAACAAAGCAAGCAGTGTTCTGTCTTGCATTAAGAACGGAATGTATTGCAGGGACAAGTCTATAATTTTGCCACTTTACAGATCACTGGTTCGGCCACATCTGGAGTATGCGGTCCAGTTTTGGTCACCGATACTCAGGGAAAGATGTCCTTGAGCTGAAAAAAGTCCAGCGGAGGGCAACCAAACTCATTAAGGGGTTTGAGGACCTGAGCTATGAAACAAGGTTGTTAAAATTAAATATGTTCTCTTTGGAGGTTAGGAGATTAAGGGGAGGCATGATTTTCCTGTATAAACTATTCAAGGGCGACAGCTACATTAGTAACAAACTGTTTACAGTTAGCTCCGTAACAAAGACCAGAGGGCACAACCAAAAATTGGTGGAAAAAAAATTTCAACACACAGGGTGCAAGGGGTTCTTCACAGTAAGAGCGGTTAAGGTCTGGAACACGCTGCCGCAGGAAGTGATTTCAGCTAAGAGTGATGAATCATTCAAGAAACTCCTGGACGAGTTCCTCGGAGACCATAATATACAGGTACTCCTAAGAGCGAAATCATACATGGACTAATGCACACTCACACACCAACTCAAACATAAATGCACACACACTAGGTTGGACTTGATGGACTTTTGTCTTTATTCAACCTCAAATACTATGTAACTATATGTAACTATGATAAATGTGTGCTCAGTGTGAGGAAATTAAGATAAACTCTATATTTTTGTTATTTAACAAATCAATAAACAATTTACAAAGTGCAGTAACCTAGTGCAATTCCTCTGGTCTTATTAAAGTAACCTGAAATCTTTTTCTCTGCACATCCCCATTTCTGTTGGCGACACATTATTGAAGATGTTAGGTTGTTTAAAAAAGGTGTTATATAGTTGTAGAGAAAATGTTATACCATTGTGTTGTCTTAAATTGTTTTACCCATGTGCTAGAAACGTTTCGAATTTACCTGAGGTATCCCCTAGAAGTATGGTCCTTGCAATATTTGGCAGAAGGTGTTCAATATTAGGTACAGACTGGGAATCTGACTCATCCACTGGAGTCTGAAAGGCATAAAATGTGAAAGGTATGCAATTACCTAGGTAACATAATACAGGAAATATAGACATGTGACATGCTACACAGTAGCACAAAGAAAGTATAATACACTCCGCTCCTGAATGTCTCTACTGCTCTGGCTAAAATCACCTGGGCTTACCCAGTAGACCAGTATGATTAGATTGAATGATCAATAAAAATAGAAAGATATAGGCGTAAAATAAAAAAAAAACTTTCCTTGAGTATACTAGTTATAGTTTCCAATGTGACTACCATGACAGCCAATCATTATAATCATATGACGTTTGTTTACAAATAAACCTGCTGACTTCAGCTGTTCCTATGTTTTAAAAAAACAAAACAAAACAAAAAAAAACAACAGCTAAAGCAGGAATGCTCCAACTATCACAGTGCAAGTGTTTAAAAAATGTGTGTGTGTAAAATATGCAATTTATTTTAAAGCACTTTCCATTTGTCACCTTATGATACAATATATGAGGAGGGTATTTATCATGAGTGTGCACCGAATAAAGCCTGTCCTTAAACACTGTAAAAATGATTTAGGTGGGCAACTTAATCAGCATTGGCGTTCCTTAACTACAAAGAATGTATCAGGGACAAGTCTATAATTTTGCCACTTTATAGATCATTTAGATCATTGGTTCGACCTCATCTGGAGTACGCGGTCCATTGAGTTGAGTTGGGTTGGGTCCTTGAGTTGGAAAAAGTCCAGTGGAGGGCAACCAAACTAATTAGGGGTATGGAGGACCAGAGCTACGAGACAAGGCTACTAAATTTAAACATGTTCACATTGGAGGTGAGGAGATTAAGGGGGGATATGATCTCCATGTACAAAATGTTCAATGGTGGTAGCAACATTAGCGATAAACTGTTTAAAATTAACTCCATTACAAAAACTAGAGGCCACCACCTAAAATTGGTGGAAAAAAAATTCCAGCACAAGGGGCGAAGGGGGTTCTTCACAGTAAGATCAGTTAGGGTCTGGAACTCACTGCCACAGACAGTGATTTCAGCAAAGAATGTGGAATTGTTCCAGAAACTTTTGGACGATTTCTTAAGGGACCGTAATATACAGGGGTACAGGTACTCCTAGAATGAGATCCTAATAGGTTGGACTTGATGGACTAATGTCTTTATTCAACCTCAAATACTATGTAACTATGTAACTTAGTCGCAGAGGTAAACCTCTGGTCATCAACGTGTTAAACATTTACATTTCAGAACTACTACTTGGGCAATTCAAACTGGGGACATGCAGCAAAATGGCATATCAATCAGTAACCCCAGAGACAGATACTGATGAATTAATATGCAAGTATTGCATTTTTCTCAAAAGTTTGAGCTACCTGCCTTTTGAGCCACCTGTCATGGGTGGCTTAGTTGACCTATAGGGAGAGGGTATCTTGCTCAACTTTTTTTCATAATTTGCTCAGTTTGAATCGACCAAGTTTGTGACATTTGGTTTAAGCAATTGTTTCACAAGAATAAATTGATATCTGTAGCCTGACAACACTAGTTGATAATCATTAATCCCAATAAACAATTTTCAAATCTCACTATCCCATAAAAAAATACATATATAGATACAAACTTGTGAAGGGTAAGGTAATGAAGCTGACAAGATGTGACAAAAACAGAAACAGAAAATGCCACTGCATAGATGACAAATTCCACTTTTCCCAGCAGTGTCTTATTGCAAGAATATTTACCTTTTCAGCTTTCTCGTGCTCTTCACTGAAGAACCAGTCAGACTGCAACACAGAAAAGTTAGTGGCAGCAAGTTACAGGGGAACAGAGGGGACATGTACTTCATAAAGCAGAAAACACAACAGGTTATTCATCACTGCTAATCTGTATCACCTTTTCACGATACCTACAACTAGGTATGTGCCGATACCGCTACTAGCATCGGTATCGGGACTGATACAGGGCATTTTGACAAGTACTTGTATTTGTAAAAATGCCCCGATACATAGCGCCAATGCTTGCGCTATGTTTTTTTTTTGTTACCTCGCCGAGCATCACTGCTGCTTCGGTGGGCGGTGCTCCAGGTAGGGTCCTAATTTAGGTGGCTGGCGACTGCCCAGAGGACCCCACTCAGAGCACCGCTCACCAGAGCAGCAGTGACGCGACTCTCCTCTTCAGCTCAGCGCCTTCAGGGCCGGAGAGCAGCGGCGAGTCAGCGCTGGTCCGGTGGGAGGAGCTCCAGGTGAGATCTTAATTTAGCGGGCCAGCTAAATTAGGACCCCACCTGGAGCTCCTCCCACTGGACCAGCGCTGACTCGTCGCTGCTCTCCGGCACAGAGTGAGGGCAAGGGGGGGGCACTATTAAGCAGGGGATAAATGTAAATCTATGGTCTCCAGTGTATTAGCAGTCTGTACTCTATATATACTACATATAGTGTACATAGCAATAGATTTACAATTCTCCCCTGCTAACATGAATAGGTTAAATCATGATCCATTGTACATAACATGTAGTTGTACTATGGATCATTTAAAGTCACCTGTCCCTTTAAGAAAAAGGTCATTGGTATCGGCAAGTACATGAGGGGAAGTGCTTGTACTTGTACATGGTCTTGAAAAAGTGGTATCTGGACATCCCTATCTATAACTAGGGATGCACATATACTTTTCGAGTACCAGTGCAGATACTTGGCATTTTCATGAGGGTTGCAGGGGTTGCAGCTGGGACCTGGCTCTGGCACTCCACCACTGTCCTGAAATCATTAGTCTGTATTGTTTTAGAAAAACTGTCACATGACAAACAAAAATGTATCAGTACCCGTACTTGTAAGTACTCAGCAAGTACTCGTACTCACAAAACTGGTTACTGTGCATCCCTTTATTTATAAAAACAAAATCGTACATTAAAACAGAGATGTACTAATCCCAGGAGCTCCGTGTGCCCCTTACAAATGACAGCTGCCTCCTAATTTTTGAATTTTTCTCTAGTCTAGTCTTGGAGCTCAAAAGTATCGGTACATGTACTCATACTTGTACCGAGTACTGTACATGGTATCTGTGCAACCCTACCTACAACCATAAAACATGATTGCGATTGATCCTGACATAATTGATGTATACTATATTAAAAAAGCAGCATATACCACATAATCAGCGTTTAGATGTGTCACATGAAAAGTATTAACAGCACAAGTCTCTTTACAGTACTTGTGAACACACTACTAAAAAAGCACATTATAATACTGCAAATATTACTTTCCAACTGCAGGGATCCCAACCTGAAAGAAGTAACTTTAGGGAGGTGACCTCAGTCTCGCCCCCCCGAAATGATGGCAGATAGCAAAGAAGCTATTGCTCCCAGTGCTATCTGCTGTTTTGTTTTGTTTTTGTATTCTGACAGCTGCTGCTATTAGAATAAAAAAAATTAAGAAAAAAACCGAGCATAGGAATGAATAGCTAGATTGCTATTGGCTATTTCAAATTACAATAGCCAATAGCAAGCAGGCTATTGCACCCGCCCTCTGCTGCTGTCAATCAGCAGAGGAGGACGTGATGGAGAACTTCAGGTCCGCATCTGCTGATTGACAGCAGCAGTGGGCGGGTGCAATAGCTAGTCTGCTATTGGCTATTGCAAATTGAAATAGCCAATAGGATATCATATACAAAGAGGTAAACTGGCTATAAAGTATAGCCGGTTAAAGAGGTTAACAAGGGATCGGAACAGACTAAATTGATGCAAAAAGTTTTATTATACAAAAAAGTATAAAATTAGGACACAACCATCAGTGTACTAACAACCATTAAAAACAGAAAAGCATGACATTGTCAATAAACCTTATGAAATATAAGTAGGTTAGAACCTGGGCTCTCGTTTGCATAAGCATAAATATCAGGACCATGGAAGAAATTGCAAGAATGTATAAAAGCACCTTGTTCCCTATTATCACAATAGCCCCTATTCGGGCTGGATCACACAGGAATAAATACTTATTGCCAAGCTGGAAAGTACATATAGTTCCATACGAGATCCTTTCAATAGCGATTGAGGCTAGGTTGCCGTATTACCACAGCTGCCTTAATTAATTGATTTCCATGCCAAGGAATACTGAAATGGAAGGTCTCTCAGACCGTTTGGATCAAAGCTCAAGGTGTCCGTGTGTTCATTTAACCCCTCTTTAGGTACAGAGTGTCATAAACGAATGGTTGGAAACAAGTGGGTACAATATAACATATTTTGCCGTCTATTTCTTCCGGCTGTATTTGGTAGTGACAATCTCAGCAAATACATGTGAGTCTTCCCCTTACTGAGTGTTGCTCATTTTCATGAAGGGGGTATATAGTTCAGGTATAATTGCTTTTTAAGGTAACATCCTTTGAGTCCGTGTATATTTTACTCACATTGCTGATAGTCTATGAGATTGATTGGATCCTCTCCACTTTCTTTCAAACCACGATGTTTCATTGATCTTTTAGAGTTAATGAATTTTGTGAGATACATCCGATGGTCATTCCTTTACTGAGCTTTGTAAGGCGAATTCCCAATTATCCATGGGATGTTAGACGCCAGGGTCAGGATATACTGATCATGCATAAAAATTGGGCCTTGAAACCAACTTGTCTACCGGTCACGTAACGCCAATAGGAGCCTAGCTATTCACTCCTATGCTGCTTTTTTTTTCTCTCCGACTGTCTGACTAATGGTGGCCGGTGACCCCAATGTCAGAAAAAAAACAAAAAAAAACAGATATCAGAGAAAGGTTTACTCAGCTAGATAGAGCAGAGTGAACCTTCCCGGGAGAAAATGTTTCTCTCCTGGGCGGCCGGGAGCCACTATCTAATAGCGGGAGACTCCTGGAACGTCTGGGAGAGTTGGGATGTCTGCAACTGTAGTTGCTAAATTGTTAAAAATAAATGGAATTTACCTGTCCACATAATTTGTTTGGCAGTCACGTGACCATGAAGCCTCCCTTAATGTCCCTCCTCCCCATAGCCGGGGGGGTTGTCTGCATAATAAGGGGGCGGTCAAGTATATACAGGTCACACACACACAGCAGGGAATCCTTGTGAAGTCAGTAGGTAGCAGCTGGCCTCTGTAGTGCAGTAAGAGGACACAGCCCTCCATGTTCTACTGCCCAGGGCCCCAAACACCTGGTGGAGCCTCTCCATACGTATATGCATTTTTTGTCTGCTGATCTCCCTCCCCTGAATTTTTTTGGCTTTGTTGTGGTGTCTTGGCAGCCTATTCAAAATCAATGGGCTGTCTTATCACAAAGCATGTTAACACAATGCAGCTCTAAAGTATGGATAGGTCCTTAAGCTGAGAACCAGGAAATGAGAGAAAGAGCTTGTTCCACCATCCCTCTCACTACCTGGGCTTCTACAGAGTGCCACTAAGTAGGCAAAAGCCTCAAGTCAGTGCAGTGCTGGACACGTGAGAAGAACATTTTTCTGTCAACGATTTCTGCCAACATACTGCCGATAAAACAATAGGCTCAATTCATTGAATGCTAATGCATCCACTTTCTCCACTGACTGTCGCACACTTCTCGAATTTTTCTTTATTTAAAACTCTTGCAAACAATAAACAAAATAAATATATACATATTTACGGGGATCGGTAGGCATCGGATAACTGTAGTTTCTAGTTGCTTGAGAATAAGAAAAACTCCCCGCTCCAATTCCACCAGACTGCAGATCAATATACACATCGGTTGCAGGCTGCAGTGTGCTCCCACTCGTCAAACAATATCTCTCCAATCAGACGCACGAAACTGAGGTCCATAAAGATCCAAAGTTATTGTTGTAAATTCCATGCAAAGTCCAAAATACAAGGGACACACTACCATAGTATCTCTCCCACTCCAAGCCTCTCAAGAGTTTCACCACCTGGACTTAGTCATAGAGGTGCAGTTTCTTATTCTTCCAAGTGCTTATAGCTGCTGCGTACTGCCCATCTCACAGGTGAAGTAGTGAACCCCTGGAAGTAATCAACTTAGTTGGAAATAAATTACTAATACCACATAGATGAAAACTGCAAAACAGCACCACACCCCTTCAATAGAAAGGATCACCACCCACCTCACAGGTGATACCTAAGTAGTTAACCACTGGAAGTGACCGACTTGGTTGGAGATAAATTCCTAATACCATACGATACAGTACACGTGTGTCCCAACACTGAGTGAACCAAATATGTGACCACACTTCAGATACCAAAACAATTTCTGTGAACTATAGTTTATTAGATACAGCAAAAACAACACAACCACAAGCAACCCCACCACCACCGGTATCATATAAGAGCCTAACTATATACAAACAACAAATCACACACCAGAGAAAAACAGGGCTGGGTATAACCTGGGGAGCAGGGCACCAAGAGGAGAGCCGGGAGCCACAGATCAGGAGACCTCAGGGGTAAGAGTCAGGAATCAGGTCAGAGTCCAAGGCAAGAACAGAGGTAGGAACAGGAACCAGGATACAGGTAGGGATATGGAAGCAATACTGAGGCACAGGCTGTGAGGCTAAATACCTTCCCAGACTAGCACCAGGTGGTGACTAATTGCTGGGAGACACCTGCAGGTGAGCACCGGAACTGCATGTTCCAGCACTACCGTGCCACCCAGAAGTGTTCTGGTACCTGACAGCTACTGGCTGCCTAGAGGCACTTGCAGGTGAGCATGGGAACTGCAGGATCTGGTTCCAGCACCACAGTGCCACCCAGAGGTGGTCTGGTACCTGACAGCTACTGGCTGCCTAGAGGCACTTGCAGGTGAGCATGGGA